AGTGGCTGCGTGGGGCTTTGTTGCCGGCTGGTGGGCTCAAACCATGACGGGGTGTTTAAAGCTGGATAGGTTGGACAGAAGACTTTGGTGATTCTCCGAGGAAGCACACCCAATCCTGATGTAAGTCTGTCCAACCTTCCCAGGAATATGCCTCCACTGTGCGGCGAGCGGTACAGTCCGGGAATGTCAACTTGAAGGACAGGCTCACCATTGAGCTGCACGGTGAGTGAGCAGGATCAGGCCATCTTAAAACTCCTCTGACTGTCCACTGGTGAAGGTGTGCAACTTGCATGTGTTTTCCCCTGAAATTTCTGCTTCCCGTGAGTGTATTGCTCAGTTTAGCTGTTTAGTGACAGCACTAACCTGTCCCGTGGCTTTCCGCAGCGGATGGGCGCCATGGGATTGTCCGCGTAGACCGGGTGCCGCTGGCGGCCAAGCTGGTAGATCTGCCCTGCATCATCGAGAGCTTAAAAACCATTGACAAGAAAACCTTCTATAAGACAGCGGATATTTGCCAGGTATGGGCTGTCCTTCTTGCCTACCCCAACAGCTTAATTCCTTGCTCCCCTCTCCAGGAAAACCCTTGTACACTGTGGCAGCTGGACCCAGTGTAACGTGGCAAATTTCTGTATTCTCACAGTATTAGCAGTTTAAAATTCCCCACTCTGCTTGGTCTTTAGAAATCCCCATTCTGAAGCGTGAAATGTGATTGTCCTTGTAACAGGTTAACTACTGCTGTGTTTAGATATGAACTGAGCTGGGTGTGAAACCGTGTTTCTCATGTCCCATGCCCATGAATCTCTTTGGCTCACAACATACAGTGGGCAGTCACTGTTCATTTTCCAGAAAAGGTTTCACATCCTTTTGTCCTTGCGTAATGATGAGCACCCTTCATGTTTATGTGGGTATTCCAGATGCTCGTTTGCACTGTGGATGGTGATCTCTACCCCCCTTTGGAAGAGCAAACTGTGAGTACTGACCCCAAGGCAAACAAGAAGAAGGATAAGGACAGAGAGAAGAAATTCATCTGGAACCATGGCAGTGAGTAGAGGCAGTGGAAAACCCTTCCATCCCACCACCCCAGTGTCCCATCAGCTGGGGAGGGCACTCACCACTGCCATGTCCTGGCTGTGCTGCTGCTTCATTCTCAGTGCTCTCTCTGTTCCTGAAGGGACCTTCTCCCTTTTGGCACACAGCTCTCCCATTAGGCCATCTGCCTGACACGTGCAATCTGTTTCCTCTATCACAGTCACTCTTCCCCTGAAAAACGTACGGAAGAGACGATTCCGAAAGACAGCTAAGAAGAAGGTGAGTTGCTTCTCACACGGATGCAGATGCAATAACCAAGGGGTAGGAAGGCAGAGACATCAGAGCTGTAACCATCTGTTAGTCCAGAAAACATGTGATTTCTTAACATTGCTTCGCATGTTTCCTTGCCCAAGGTGAGGGTGACGGGAGGGTAGCAGATTTAAACACTTCTTTGGGTGCTTCCTCCGTGTTTTCTAAGATGCTCCTGAGGGGAAAAATCCTCTGTGCAGAGAACTGCTGGACTCCATTCCTGCAGCTGCCTTGCCATTGCGTACCCCTTCCTGCTCATAAAGAAGGGAAGACT